TGAAAACAAGTTGTAATAACTTAATGGTTTTTGGAATGGGTTAAAATGTTTTAAATTGGCCTGAATTTTATGGGTGTTACAGGTTTGGTGCAACTATAGTGGTGGGGAAGATGGATGTGGGTCACATGCTTCTCCAATTTGTTGGTTTAGTTTTGTAACTAGACATTTCTCTCTATTTTATTAACCAATAACAAGGATGTACCCATGTTTCAAGAACTCCAACTTCCAATCCATTATCTGACATGTCAAAAATTATAGCTACTCCATGCTTGCATGGGATACTAGTGACCTACCATACCCTACAAGTGCAACTTCTCTCCCTTATATTTACCACAAACTAATCCATGAGAGGACCACTACCCTGATACTTGTCATTCCCAACAAGTTTACACTTTCTCCCAAAACCGTACACCTCTCTCCCTCTCTCTTATTGTCAAAATTCATAACCTCTCTCCTAGGGTTAATGATTTTTCGAATAACCTCTCAAAAGGGGTTTTTCTTTGATTGCTTTTGGAGTTTTGGGTCTGACTACAGTAGAGGGATTATACTTTGGATCCTTTATCCACTGCAAGATTTGTCAGTTACAAGATCACAATCAAAAGGTCAAGAGGTTAGTAAATATCCTTCTCTAGTTCAGTTTTTAAAGTAGGTTGCTATAACTAGTAAAACCTACACATATGTTTTTGTTTTTTGTTTTCATTTCCTTCCTCATTGGAAGTCTGATTTTCATTTGAGTCTTAAATCCATGGAAAGTTGGTCATGAGCTCTACAACTTCTTCTTACCGACTTTTGGTTAAATGTTTCTCAATTTTGAGTTATTAAGTTGTAAACATGGATGTTCACCCATTTTTTCACTTTTAGGATTTGAACTAGCAATTTTCAAATGGCCATGTATTCTTCATCATAAATCCATTTTGCATGATTTCTTTTTTTAAATATTACTTATTATGTATGCCACAACTTTCGTTATATATCTGTTTGCCATTCGTTCTAGATCTCGAGTTATAAGATTATGAATGAACTAAATATTAATATATAACTTAGGCCTTATGTGCATTGATTTTGTTAAGTGCACAAAGGGCCTTTTGTGCACTAATTATATGTAAGCGCACGTAAGGGGTTTAGTGATA